TTCTAGTCTTTTGTGTTTTAGTCGTATTTCTTCTTTTGTGTTTTGTGTACTTGAATCCCACCCAAATTTCTAGCATAAGTCGGCATTTTTTATGAATTGTAAGTCCTTATCCATTATTGTGTCATATATTCTATTTATTGAATACTTAATTCTGCACTTTATGTTATCCAGTTAACAAAGAAGATGATCTAATAATAAAAACTTGTCCAAGAATTCTTCTATTAATTACTTTGTCCTATTTCATATGCTAAAATTATAGATAAATTTTGGAAGGTTTCTGAATCCATTCTGTGTTAAAAAGTACCCATTCGAGTATAGACTACTTAAAGGAAAAATCCAACATTTAATGAAAGATTAAATCAATATTCTTATATCGGGTTAGAGTTATATATTACTAGGTCATAAAATTAAGAAACGTGTTATCGGACTAGTAAATTGGAACCTAAGAAGACATACACACAAAGATATATATATATATATATATATCTATATATATGTAGACACACGTACATACATACATATTCATACATATATACACACACACATATGAGGTGTTGGGTATTGGACATTGAGTTTTTAAGGATCTCTTATCAAACCCTATTAGATTGCTTGTTGATAACTCTTTGTCAATATCAAAGCGTGACGAACAATCCATCGATTGTCTAATTGAATTAACCATCTAATACTCACGGATATCGGACTTCAACCTATGCATTGCCATCCCTATTATTATAATTGTTATCATGCTTTATAAACACATAAAGAAAGCATTCCACTCATTTTAGTTTATTTTATCCTTTTTTTTCGTGAAAGGAATGCATTGCAGTTTAGAATTTTAGATGGCCTAATTTGATGGATTCCTAAATTTTTCTGTTATCATGTATTACTTGTTTCATTTTTGTAGTGCAATGAATTATCGTTTGTATGCTTATAGCTATTAGTACGTTTGCACGAATTTTTGTTTGAATTTCTTATCTTTAAATATTACATCCTGTTTTGTACTTTGTTTTATTTCTTTGTGTTTTCCCTTTTGTGATTAGCTTGATCTGTAAAGCTTAAGAAGCTTGTGCTGCCATACCAGTACACCTTTTTTGTAGGATAAATAACAAAAAATTTATACTTTTCTCCTTGTTAAATTAAGTGATGTTAAATACAAAAAGTGATCAAGTCCAGAAATCAATGAAGGGACTGTACATGCTTCCATACAACTGTGATATATAGTTAAAGAGAGGAATCAAGTAGATTTGGTTTAGCATTCTTACTGAATACTTCCGTATTAGTATTAATTAATATCAATTATCAAGAAATAGAAGAAGCTTGGGTTCAAATCCCCCACTCTCTCTCCCCTGGCTTCTTAACTCCCATTTGCTTGAAAAATAAAAAAGAAAGAATTGGGATTAGTCCTATACATACAGTGTATAAAAGTCCCAAAGGGACATGAGAGAAGCGATCAAAAAGATTTTCAACAACCGCATATTCGGTTTTTTCTGCAAACGATTCTCAATAGCTGGAGTCAGCTAGACCATGAGCTGAGGCAGAAGGCACAGACCTGCTGAGAGCTTGTTTTGTTTGTTGTCCATTTTTTATTGTCGAGTTGCTTATTAAAGTGAGTTTTCTTGAAGTCAGTAGGAGACCGCCCTGTTTTTGTGCATTACAGCTAATGCAACGTGCTTCGCATGTGGTAATATAGATGTAGTTACCAATATAGATGTTGAAAGAGTAGCATTCATGGTTCACTAGTCCGTGAAGCTATATCTAATAGTCTACAAAAGCACCGACGGACATGAGACTTGGAGCAAGTAGATTCGTTAAAATTCTAAGAGCGCCAATATGTCCACAACTGCATCCTTAGTCCCTTGCTCAAAAGATCAAAAACAAGAGGAACTAATGCAAGAATACTGCAAGAACCTGTTGTCAACCCTCCCCAGAAAGAGATGGTTTGGTTCTTCTTATCTGTACAAGTACAATGGCTTTTGGCTCGGTCCTAAAGGGATGCCGGGGCTCATTGCATGCCAAAACCATTTCCAAGCTCGGGACACTGATTTCCTACTAATTACCACTCCCAAATCAGGCACCACATGGCTGAAGGCCCTTATGTTCACCTTAGCCAACCGAAAGATTTATCCAATCAACCAAAACCATCCTTTGCTCAAGCAAAATCCTCACTCTCTGGTGCCATTCATGGAATTTTTTTGCTCACCAGAAAAAATGAACCCTGACTTTTCTTGTCCATTGGGAAGACTATATTCGACTCACTGTCCACTTACCCTACTGCCCGAGTCGGTGCTGAATTCAGGTTGCAAGATTGTCTACCTATGCAGAAATATTAAGGATACTTTCGTCTCATATTGGCACTTCTCCAAGAAGTTAGGGGCTGAAGCTTCACTCGAAGAGTTTTTCGACATGTTTTGTGAGGGAGTGAGCCTTTCTGGACCAGTTTGGGATCATGTTTTAGGCTACTGGAGAGAAAGCTTGGAGAAGCCTGAAAAGGTCCTGTTTTTGAAGTATGAAGCCCTGCAGGAAAAGCCAAGTTTTCATCTGAAACTTTTAGCTGAGTTCATGGGGTGTCCGATTTCACCCGAGGAAGAGACATGTGGTTTTGTTGATGAGGTTTTGGGGCTTTGTAGCTTTGATAACTTGAGCAATTTAGAAGCGAACAAGAGCGGGACCTTCAAGACTGTTGGAAATGAAATGTTTTTTCGGAAAGGAAAGGTTGGAGATTGGAAAAATTATTTGACAGGTGAGATGGAAGAACGCATTGATCATATCACTGCCCAAAAGTTCTTCGGATCTGGATTGAGTCTATAGGATTGTGTAAAAGATTCAAAAACCTATTCGTTTGGATCTGGATTGAGTCTCTAGGTATTGGTATTCCTTAATCCAAGCATGGTTGTGTTGTTCCAAATTTACATGTGTGTGTTGTTGTTATCACATGTCTTGTACTGTAAATTACAAATATCATCAAAAATTAATACTTGTTATTGATATTAACAAGTACTAGCGCTCTATTGAGTAATTCTTCACCCTCCTCAAAACCAGTATTTGTTGTTGAATTCAAGCTAAAAACAAGCTTTGAGGTAAATTGAGTCTTCATCCATCTCAAAGCTGCAATTCAGAAAGTTTGCTTACTTTGATCCTCAAATAAATGATTTCTAAACTTTCTGTCCCCCAATTATGAGAAAGGTACTTTTGATTTGTTGGCCTACTAAAAATCTAACGGTACCATAGTTTGTGTATCTTGTTGACGGCCATTGTCACGCTGAAAATAAGATTTGGGGCTGTATTTCTAGCTCTAAGTTAGTCGAGATAAGTGTTAAATTTGCATATTTTTAGTGTGTTTTATTGATTAGTTTTTGGTGTGTTTTAGTTATTTTAAGAGCTAAGTAATTTAGGTTTCTAGTTATGAAAAGCCTGAAGGGAGGTTTCTGAAATTATCCCTTTTGTATGTGCATATCAACGGAACAAGTACATATACTAGCACATCTAAAGTGAGTACTAAACACTCAAACAAGGGCGCGCACACACACACATTCTCATTTGGTCAAAAGTAGGGGATGCAATTGATTCGAATGACTCCACTCGAATTCGATTCGAGTTTAAAAATTTTTGCTCGAGATTGAATCTAATCGAGTTTAAGAAATATAAATTTATATTTTATATAATTTTAAACAAGAAATAAAATAGACATTTTATACAAATATATATACATATGAAAATCAATTGCAATCGTCGAGTTTTCGAGTTTTACATATTAGGCTTGGAATTCGTTAGGTATTTTGAACTGCTCGAACTCGATCATCGCAACTTGAACTTGAGTTTTGAATGAACCTGCTGGTAAGCTACTCGATTCAGGTGGACTTGTTTGCACGTTTATCTGTTACAAGTTTTTTAAAAACTTTAGTTACAGTAACTTCAAAAAACTTTTCAAAATTTTTAAACTATACATTTCAAAATATTCAAAACAAAATACACTTCAAAAACTTTTTTAAAAACTTCTACGGTAAGTTACAGTAAAATTCTAGACAAATATCCAAAAAACTCATCTTCCAAACGGGGCCTCAATGCTGTCAAAAACTTCACATACAAACACGTATAAACACACACAGTTCCGTGTGCACGTGAATATATGTGCAAAAGAATATGTATAAAATTAAGAAAGAAGAGGATCTAATAATAAAAATTTGCCCAAGAATTCTTCTATTAATTACTTTATCCAATTTCATATGCTAAAATTATAGATAAATTTTGGAAGGTTTCTGAAGCCATTCTGTATTAAAAAGTACCCATTCGAGTATCGACTACTTAAAGGAAAAGGACCATTTTGAATATGAACATGCCCAAAGAAATTAAGAAATAATTTTCATACCCGAAAAGGATTAACTTATTATTAGTGACTAAGAAAATCCTTGCTTAACTAAGAAAAGCCCCTACTTTTTATTAGATCAAAATCCTATCAAAATCTATCAAGGTTGTAGGCGAGGAATTTTAAAAGAAAAACAAAGAAATTATAAAATAATAGACATAATAAAATATTATTAATTAGATTTGATAAAATTCTTCCTCTAGTTTCAACAACCCTTCGTAGCTTTCATTTTGGCTCAAAGCTCAAATGGGTAACACCCCTATAGAGTATAGAGCCGGTTTCAATTTATGGCACTTTAAAAAACTTTTTTTAATATAGATATAAACATAGAGAATTTAACAAATGATAGTTAATTTTTGTATGCAAAAGCAGCAATGCAGTTTTTGTCATGTTAAACTAATATCTCTGAGTCCGAAATTGGAATTGTTGTGGACGAAAACCCACTGGTAGAATCATTTAGTTAGCGTTTACAAACATGTCTGGGTCAAGAAAAACAGAAAAAAGGCTTCTTCAATGGCTTAAGGTTCTTTGAGATTATCCTAGTAAGAAACCACTCTAAGTTTGCAAGTAACAAAATTGCTATTGTTTAAACATTTTAACCAAAGTGATGCTAAACACAACCATAAGCAAAGACTACTGATCAGAAGTTGTTCTTTGCCAAGAAAAATCATTTGCAACGTCTCCAGTAGAGCATGCACAGACATGGTTCATCGCAAGTTCGACCACATATTTACATGTTCACAAGCAAAAGGAGCACAGAAACTCAAACCTCGCATAGCCAGGCAGAGCTTGATCAATAAGCCAGTCATATAGGATTACATGACTGCAAACCAGCAATAACACAAGGAAATTGCTTAGCAGGTGTGCACCCTTTAGTTCCAAAAAATCACCAGTCCGTCTACGGTAGAACTTGACTGCTTGCTTGTGCTTGGGAGCTGGAAGTTATTTTTAACATTCTATGCACAGACATGTTCATTCAAATGCTTAAAATCCATGTCATCGTTGTATGCACTTGTTATGAAACTAAGTATTTATAAAGCATTCAGGATTATAACCAATACATCCAAGAAAATGACTGAAGCTCAGCATAACTCGGTGTCAAACTTCAGAGATATGCCCATGCTGAAAAGCTCTTGACAGAGCAACTTGGCACCATAAGGCACATTCACCCTAACAATGTCTTCTGCAGACTCACATAACCGACAGAAAGGGCCACGAATCTTGCGGCCACCGAACACTGGCCTCTGGATTACATTGGCCATACTCCTGCATTTGCGACAGATATGCATCTCTGAAGAATCGCTGAGAGTGAAGAGGCGTTCATGCAAATTTGATGCAGCACCATGAGCTATAAGGCAATCCCGTTCCATCTCACCAAATTTTATCCCACCAAACCGCTTCCTGTCTGCCACTGGCTGACGAGTGAGTGGATGGACTGGTCCCGTGTTCCGAAATTTTACTTTATCTTCAGCCATATGAGTAAGGCGTTGATAAAATGTCGGACCCATGAAAACCATAGTATGAATCATTTCACCTGTTCGCCCATTGTACATTCTCTCATTTCCCCACCTTGAAAATCCAAGCCTGCCATGTGTACCCCATTAAAACAACTATAACAGACCATGGCATACCAACGGTAAAGTAAAGACATCATACAAATGATTGTGCATAACATGATTTTATAGGCTATTGCTAATGTATCACCTCTGAAGTTGGTCTCCTATAGCATCAACAGATAAGGTTGAAAAAGGTGTGGCATATTTCTGTGCACCTCCTAGAGCAATTCCCTTAGCCAATGCAGCCTCTAAAAGTTGCCCAGGAGTTTGTCGTGAAGGAAATGCATGTGGATTAATTACGATATCTGGAACTATTCCTTGTGCTGTAAATGGAAAATTCTCCTGAGATTCTAGGAAACCCAGAACACCCTTCTGCCCATGCATGCTTGAAAACTTGTCGCCCAGACCTGGAGAACGAACCTGATTTTTTTTTTTGGAAAAATAAAATCTTAGAATAAAGGTAGATAGAATAATAAAAAAATCTTAAAAAGGTCACTAAGAAGACTTGTAAGTATTTTAGCAACAGCACACCATATTACATATGCTAACAAAAGTAAAAACACACTATTTTCCAACTCGACATATCCCACTACCATTCAAACATATAAGCAGAAAAGAAAATTTTGATTTCAAGCTCCTCTAAAATTCAAATTTGAGCACAAGTAGACAAGCTAGCAAACATCCAAATCGAAACCACAAATTAATAGTTAAAAACGAATCTTTCACTGGTTTATTATTGTCAGAGCATATATATTCTCATCTATAAAGTAGAGGAACAAGCTAATGAGGGAAAGCTCCTGCCGATGATAAAAGAAAATTTCTGTTTTATTCCAAGTTCTTTATGTTTACCCTAAGATGCCTGCAAATTTATCCCCTACACTTTTAGCATCATGAGAGAACTTATTAGGAGAAAGAAAACAGAAGGAAAAAGCAAAAAGACTTAAGTGGCTTCACAAGTTGAATGATATTCCACTTAATCATATTGTTTTCACCTCCCACATACTACTCCCTAAATTGTATATCAAACAAGTATACCTGCCTCAGAGATACCACAGCAAAGTTCTTGCCCTCATCATTAGCTGACAGTACAACCTTCTGAACCATGCCTTTTTCAGTGTGCTTTAGTTTCACACTATGATCGGTCCCTGATTCTGAATATTTACCTATGACTATGTCACCAGTCTGGAGGCTAGCACCAATGAATGGAAAACCATCATCATCAAGGCTGTCAACGCGTCCAATTTTACTCGGCATCTTTCCAAACTTTACAAAGTCCTCAGGCTTGTGCCTCTTCCCCAAGTTTTCCGTCTCATCTACATCTGACTTGTAGCTTCTTATATGCTCGGATCGGAACATGCCACGCTCTAGTGAAGCACGATTCATTACCAAGGAATCCTCCTGATTGTAACCAAGATGTACGTTAACTGCCACTATAGCACATTGCCCATTAAAATATTCAGGTCGTGGCAGCATTCCTCTATGACGAGGATAGGAAGGCTTTCCAAGAGAATCTGAAAGCATGGTTCGGAAAAGTGGCTTCTGGGGATAATACAATTGATGGATATTTGTATCAACTCTGATACTTGGGTTTGTAGTGGAAAACCCAATAGCCTGTTGAGAGTGCTTCTCAGACTGGTACAAGACCCTTCGTGCATGATCATGGTTAGCAAATGGGATAATTCCACAGCTTAAACCTAATAAGAATGACTGGTCAAGTTCACAATGTGTATATTTCATGGGAGGCTTCTCTTTGCTGCCTGTGTACAACAAGCCAATTTCCCAAGCAGTTACACAATCTTCTTCCTCTTCAGGTCCAATAAGTTCAATGATTCCCCTGTCCAAAAGAGATTGGAAAGAACAGTCCTCCCCTTTCAAATCTTTGATCCTTTTCAGATTCTCAACAACTAGGAGGGGACGAAGAACCCTTCCAGCATCAGAAAATACACGGATTTCTCTATGCTTTTCATCTCTCTTTATTTCCACCTGTGAGTAAATACAGCAGAACAATTCAGACAAGTATAACATTAGAGAGAGATATATATAAACAGCGGCTAAAGAAGACTAATAAAACCATTCCTGCTTTATTTAAAGGATGACATGAAGCTCACTCCATTACTGTTTAACTTCAAAAAGTAAAATAAAATTACTGTCATAACGCTGAAGACCACAAGAAAACTAGGGTGGTGGGAACATGTAGCACTGCATAACAAAAAATGGTTGATTACATTGAGATGATTCACAGAAACGTGTCAAAAAGAAGACTTGGAATATCTACAAGTATATTATGTCAAGTTAGTTCATTTTCTTTTCGCCTCTTGCTTTGACTTGAGCAACAATCACCACTAGACAAGAAAAAACTTTACGGGATGGGAAGGCAGTATTTGCATCAATACATTCAACTCAAGCATTTAAATCTTAGACCTTCAAGCATCTATTCACATATAGATATTTCAGTTATTTAAAAAGAAGTTAACAGCATTAGATATATAATAAAAAACGTGGTAAAAAGGTTCTACATATTTTTGCTGAGATAGTCGCATGAAATCAACTTAAGATGATATTGAACAATTGCATATCAGATGCATAATGTAAGTCATTGTTTTAACAGCATCCCAAAATATTTTGAAACAAATTTAAATGATTGAAAATACCTGCTGTGGGATCTCCTTGCTCCGACGCTTATTCTTTAGCTCTGCTACAAATAATGCAGAATCCTTGCATGTCCCAATCCAGTCCCCATCCAAAAAAATCTTGTGCTCTTCATGTGTTGAGGATGAAGTATCATCTAGTAATAATTTTAAACCACAATCAAGTAATTTGTCAAGAAGAGATTCCAATACTGTTGTGCTGACAAGTCCCAAGCTGGCTAAGTTTTTAACAAGCCCACAATTTTCTCCATCTGGAGTAGAGAGAAAGCATATCTTTCCCCAGTGTGAAGGGTGCCTGCATCATCAATTTTAATCATCAATCAAAATAATACATCAGACCAAAGCAAGTACTCAAGAGGTGCCACGACGGTGGAAAGGCAGAGAGTCTCCCCCCCCCCCCCCCCCCCGGGGAAAAAAAAGTATAAAGCTAGCACTATAGCATGTTAATAATAACAAACAGGAATACCAACAAAAATCACGCACGTAGATTAAATTTGCCAGTGTCAGCAACAGACGATGGCTGATCTTTAGAAAGCAATTACTCAAAGCAAGTACTCAAGATGTGCCACGAGGGTGGAAAGGCAGAGAGTCTCCGCCCCCCCTCCCCCCCAAAAAAAACCCCGAAAAAAAAAGTATAAAGCTAGTGCTATAGCATGTTAATTATAATAAACAGGAATACCAACAACAATCATGCACCTAGATTAAATTTGCCAGTGTCAGCAATAAACTATGGCTGATTCTTAGAAAGCAAGACTCAAGACGATTTTAATCATCAATATAAATAATACACCAGACCAAAGCAAGTACTTAAGAGGTGCCACGAGGGTGGAAAGGCAGAGTCGCTGCCCTCCCCCCCCCCCCCCCCCGGCTGCCAAAAAAAAAAGTATAAAGGTAGCGCTATAGCATGTTAATAATAATAAACAAGAATACCAACAACAATTATGCACCTAGATTAAATTTGCCAGTCTTAGCAACAGACTATGGCCGATTCTCAGAAAATGTATGACAAGAATCTATTCTATTACTATATGACAAGCTGAAAGTAATTTGCGAAAAGGAAACAAGCTTAGCTGAGTTAATGTTCTCACGGATATCTAGCATCACCAACTCTCCCAGTATATGAAACCTGCTGCCGTGTTTTCCTCATGTCAGCAGTCATCTGCAAGGGGTTTGTCCGCCTAAGGGTAGCGACCACTCCAGAAACCCTTTCCATTTTCTTGTACGGATGTGACCATGCTCCAGTTGAAAATGCTCTTGAAAGACCATTCGAAATGATTGATGCATCCACATAGGTTTCAATGCCCCGCAGTTCATGATCTCCATAGATATCTTTTTGAATAGCTTTCACCATACGCCTCTCAGCATGTTTAAGGTGTACCTTCAGCTCCCGCTCCAACAGCTCAGAAGCCAACTCCAATCTCTTGTTTCTGAAATCATCCCGGTTGTCAACCTTTCGTCGGCCAGTATATGCTTCCAATAGACACTTCACCATGTACCCAAGGAAGCGGGCTTTCTGCTTAAAGCCAGTTAAATTTGGAAACAGTAGATTTCTGATGCATTCTTCCACAGGCTCAGCAGGAGGAAATTTACAGTTCTTCAGAAGTTTATGAACGTGATCAAGAGCATTCTTACCTCTGCGGAAGTCCGTACAATTATCATCAGCATCATATATCGATTCAGTAAGTATATTTGCAATTTTGGTGTCTTCAATGTCCAAATTGATCAAATCTACCACCTCTCTATCAGAAGATGCACCAAGGGCAAAAAACAGTATCCACACGGGCATTTCAGCAACAGCAAAATAAACAGAAAGAACCTTTTCTCCTCCAATGATACTCTCAAATTTTGAATTACTAACTAGCTTCAGATACACTCTTTTCCTTTTAGCAATTGGACGGTAAGAAACCATCCAGTTTGGGACACGAGACAGCCAAAGCCTTATCATGCAGATTTGCTCCTGTGCAATAAATGTCTGCAGTAAAACATTTCAGGATATCTAGCAGAAAAAGCTACAAAGAACTACTGAAAATTGCTGTGACTAATCAAATATCAATCAAAGCTCACTGAAAAGGTTTTATGGGAAATTGATTATTCTTGGTCCTTAGAAAGCATAAACAATGCAAAAGAAGCTAATGACTATACTAAAAGAACTAACACCTGGCAAAAGCTTTGGATCTCAGAAATGATATAAATTCTTGAATTTTTACTTGGCCAGAAAACAAAATTCACAAGCAAGGATGAAACACAAGGAATTGGTAGGTGCAATTTTTTGTCAACGTACATAAGTTTAAGAAATGAAGAAGGGAAAGTTGAGGAAAAACAAAACAAATAGATGGCCTTATACTAGAAAGCAAAGATTAGCATGCTCTTAATACTTTCTACAGCCAGAATGCATGTTTTACTTAAACCCCAAGCACAATAATGAGGATGACTGCATTCCATGCAGTAGTACAGATTCTCAGTCCAGCCCTTCACAAGCTTAAATAATTAATTTTTGCAAATAGCAGCTACCTTCATCTCACCATTTTCACTTGCTTTTGATACACTCTTTTGTTCAGACTTTTTAATTGAGGCAATTTGAATCCATATCCACACAAACAAAGCTTAAATGGATTTGGATGATTAAAAACGCTTAATGACTTTAAATGGGCAACAATTTAAACCCAGTTAATTTGGTCGATTTAGATGGGCTATGCATGTCATTTATAAAAATTCAATTATCAAAAATAGAATGGAATCAACTCACTGAAAAGAGGGAAAAGGAGGAAAAGAAAATTATGTCAGACAAATTAGTATCAAGTAAGCGTGGTTTAAGGTTGATGAGTTGGGAATGGCCAGGATTATGATCAGCAAGGAAGTGGTTCTGGAGACTCAAAGACTTATAGCTGGTCCAGGTGAGTTAAAGAGTGTCATCCTTGTCAGCATTACATCCTTGAGATAAACAACACTGAAAGTGTCCATGGATAGTTTACAGAAGCTTGTTGTCCATGTCAACTTTGGTTGGCAATATTGTTAAAGGACAAAAACTAGTTGTTTGTATTTCAATTATCAAATGGCTGTAACTGGATTAGATTATTTTTATCCACCAAACATTTAAGGAAAACTACAACCATTTATCCATTTTGGCATTTCTACTATTTGGAAAACTAGATTTTAAATTCCAAATAGTTGATTTTAAATTCCAAATAGTTGATAATGGAGGAAAACTTTTGTGCTTTGAACAACTAGCACAAACAAACTTACAACTTTATTCAACAAGAACAAAACAAGGTTATCACCTTTTCAGCACCCTTGATAATGAAATATCCACCATGGTCAAATTCGCAATCATCCTTTTCGGCTTCATTCATCCAACATAACTCAGACCTCACCATAACAGGGAGCCTCCCAATTATGATCTCCTTCTTCTCCTCCTTTTCACAATGATTCTCTACATACTCTGCCATTCCAGTTTTTGCCTTGTCACTTCTTAGAAGCTTCTTGGTGTAGACCTTAAAAATAAAAAAAAAATAAAAACAAAAACAAAAACAAAAGGAAGACACATATCAAAGTCAAAAGTGGTAGAAGAAAAAGGAACTATGATTACCCCAAAACTTTGATCATTGTTGAAGATGAAGTCATAGGGAAAGGGATTTTGTGTTGTAGTAGTAATGGACAACACAAGCAAATCTCAAGTTAGTACAATCAATTTAGCATCTTTCAAGTGCTAATCAATTATTTCTGTTTAAAAATAATTCATATGCATTATGCAGAGTTACTGCAAAAATTTTCCTAACACAAGTAAAGATTAACGGCACATAATCTTTCACCTAAATTTGCGATTTTTTTTCACGCATTAAGTATAGAGGGATTCCATCTTCTTTCAGATGTTAATAGAGAAAAATGAAAAACAATAACCCAAACAAATATGTCAATAATATCACAAAGTAAATAAGGCCAGAGAAAAAATGCAAGCTTCTGTGATGAATACGTCAACATTTTATACAACCACTAACAGTTCAAACTCTAGCTAATACAGACGTGTGACAAGCTAGGTATATAATCTCCAAGCATTGATAAGTAACTCAGTAAAGAAACTACTAAAGCAACAGTAGTCTGCATTTACCATAGAAAGCTCTATTAAGAGTTGCATTATCATATTCATTTTCCTTTTAGTATAAGGAATCAGATACATGCACAATATCAACAAAATAGACTCAAGATTCATGCAAGCAAACGTTAACGATACTCTTCAGTTTAAAACATGAGATGATATCTAACAAGCGCATGATTGGAAAAATTATACGATAATAGCTCCTATAAATGAATAACAAGATGTGTGAATCGACCTCTACCTACACAATAGCATGGAAGATAAAGAGCAAAACTAGATGCCACGTAACTCTCCAGACCATTTCAAGAGTGGATTTAAAGAATATATAAAATCCAGGTGAATGTGTATACCTGCACATGGAAGATACATGCACAATATCAACAAAATAGACACAAGATTCATGCAAGCAAATGTTAATGATACTCTTCAGTTTAAAACTTGAGATGATATCTAACAAGCACATGATTGGAAAAATTATACGATAATAGTTCCTCTAAATGAATAACAAGATGTGTGAATCGACTTCTATCTACACAATAACATGCAAGATAAAGAGCATAACTAGATGCTACGGAACTCTCCAGACCATTTCAAGAGTGGATTTAAAGAATTTATAAAATCCAGATGAATGTGTATACCTGTACATGAGTCTCCACTTTTATCCTAGCTGAATAAGTCATGTTCTGAAGCCGGGCATGACGAGGAAGCACTTTTAGATACTCGTTTTTACCTTCTCCAAATAACTTCTCACCTATCCAAATGTCTGGCTTCTCAAGAATGACTTTGCCAAACTTTATAGATGCGTATTTCCAATCTCCATCACCCCGCTTTGAAGGATCAAACCCTGGCTCAACCACAATCTCACCAACAGAGTCAAAGACTTCTTGAATCCGATACTTGACGAAATTATTGTAAGAATTGATTTGATGACTAATGAAACCATACTGTTCAAAAAAGGCAGTTGCTGCCTTCTTACAAAATTTCTTCAAGAAATCTTCACCCAACTCCCGTAGGGTTATAGAGTTGAGCATGTCATCGAAATCATCAAAGTCAATGTCATCAATATCCATCGATAAGGATTGATCAAATAAGTTATCTTTGCTACTCCCAATTCCCGAATCTTTTATGGCATCAGATGCATCCATTAGTATCAAATTCCCCTATAATCAAAAGAAAGAGAAATCAGGTAACTACAGATTTTTCCTTCTACAAGAACTAGAACTTACATATATATGACATGGATATCTAATGTCACAACCAGAACCAGAATCCACCTAATCAGCCAAATTACAGTCATTTCTACAGGTAAAGTACAGAGTAGAGTTCAAAATCAGATTATTGGATGCAGATTTTATTCACCAGCAGCCAGGATAGAAGCATTTCCTTCTGAATGGAAACAACAGCAAAATTCATTACAAAGAATTCACATTGCAACAGAACTTTTTTATTTTAGCACAACATTTTAACAATTCCAGGTCCTAATTTTCATTTTTTCTTCTTATTTCTTTTAATTTTCTTGGTCTTGCATTCTCCATTTTTCTCAGAAAGATATTAAAATCAAACGCCTTTTCCTTAGCCCCAAACTACCAGAGATTCCACTATCATAAAGAAAAAAAGAAGCTAAGAAAACTTTAAAATGTCAAGAAAAAATAAAAGAACAAAAACAGCCTCTTTCTATCCAGAAAAGGCAACATTGCAAGGATTTCACTCTTTATCTACTCCAACAACCACAAACCCTACGCTATAGAACCCCTCTGAAAAAACCATCAACATGCATGAGAATTAAGGGGTTTCCTCAAATTTCTCTCACCCACCCCCATTTTCAAGCTTTCCCCAAAAAATGAGAGAAAAATAAATACAAAATAAAAAAGGCAGAGAATGTCTTAAATAACAAACTGAAGTACCCAACCCTTCTGCATTTTTTGGTGCCCAAAAACATTCAAAAAGAAAACGTGATTTGAAAAAAAAATGGCGAAAATTTATAAACTCAAAAATGTAGACAGAGAGAAGATGAGAAGAAAACTTACACTTGCTTTTCAGTTTTGATGAAAGTTCAGGCGATGGAAACTATGAATAGAGCGAGAACAAATAAGCACGCCTTCTGCAAGAAGACTGAGGAAGTGGACTAGTGGAGTACAGCTTTGAACAGACAAGGCGATTCCTGCCGCGCAAGAAATTTGTGCCCGCCCTTCTGTATAAAATTGTATGCTATTTTACTATAGTTGATATGTAGATATTAGTAATATAATTTTTCAAATGGAAAGGACCGAAAAAAATATTAGCAGTATTTAATCTTGCTCAATACAAGATATTTTTATATAGGGCAAATGCCTCGATAGCTCTCAAACTATTTAAAAGTTGAATTTTTAACCCTCCAACTATTAAATGAATGTTTTCGGCCTTCTATCTAATTAAATGGTATATTTGTGGTCTTTCCGTGAGTTAGAGACTTAGAGTAGTCTAAGTTCAACAGAAAGAGCAACACGCGCGAGGCACGGGGATAAGCTGTGATGACTGAAAAATTCGCAAATATTTTCTTAAAATTCTCTCTTATTTTGATTAAATGTCTTTATAATATATTTACTACTTATTTACTCCCTTAATAGTTGGAATAAAGAATAGAATGAAGAGTTTCCCCTTTACTTTCATCGTTAGGGTAAACTAGGGTTTTTACGTCTTTCGGTAGTGTGATTACCCGGTTTGGAGTGTATACTAAATTTGGTAGTTAAGAGTGAGGTTTAGATGAGAAAAGTGTATGATTAGAAGTAATAATCATCAGTAAATTACAAGTGAAAACCCTAGTACGTGGGAATTAAGAAAAAACGGTGTGAACCGAAATGTACCGTTTGATAACGAGTGAGTACACCACTTGACCACTACTTTATTAACTTAATTTTCTCACTTTATTTCAGCTAATTAACTCTAAATATCTCCTCAAATCAGCCGAAATTATTGACTATAAGAAAGGGGGAAAAGAAAGAAAAATGAGAATTATTCTTGTGGTGACACTTGTTGGAAGTATAAGAAACTTTGACCAAGCATTTTTCTTTCTTTCTTATCTTCTTCTTGACTCCATTTTCCTCTATTTTCTTCCCTTGTTGGCCGAACCTAGTGAGGAGAAAAAGAGAGTGAGAGCTTCAATTTCCATCTTATATTTTACCTTGTTTAAATTGAAATCACAAAAATTAAATCGATTAAACTTGCAACAAGGTGACAAGGAAACTTTTGGTGGAGTGATTTTGCATGGGCAGTCTTGATTTTGTGTATTTCCTTGAGGTTGGAAGGTATGAAGGTATTAAGTTAAAAAGCTCTTCTTCTCTCTCTTATCTTGCGTTTTATTGGATAGACGACTTGAATCTTAGAAGTTTTATGGATGATAACCTAGATTGGTGAAGATTGATGGAATTTCAGCCTAGGGTTTTATTTTCCAGCTTTGATATGCATTTCCCAGCCATGAGATGGTTATATCCAGCTTTGTTATAGACTTGAGAGAGCTGATATGAAGATTTCTAGCTTTAATATGCCTTTTAACTTCCAACTAAGAATTTTCTAGCTTTAGTAGAGAATTTTGCTCTGCTTCTGACCAGCTTTATTCGTCCATGTTAGAGGCCGAATTAAACTTAGATCAAAACATGAAAGTTGTAGGAAATGGTGTTATATAGCTGCCTGTAAAATTTCAGCTCAATCGGGAGCACTGTAGCATGTGAAATGATTGAAATACCCTTGATTGCAAAATATTTTTTTTCCGCGTGCAGTTTTGAGCCTTGATTTTGTGTATTTCCTTGAGGTTTGAAGGTATGAAGGTATTAAGCTAAGAATCTCTTCTTCTCTCTGTTATCTTGTATTTTATTGTATAGATGACTTGAATCTTAGAAGTTTTATGGATGATAACCTAGATTGATGAAGATTGATGGAATTTCAGCCTAGGGTTTCATTTTCCAGCTTTGATATGCATTTTCCAGCCATGAGATGGTTATATCCAGCTTTGTTATAGACTTGAAAGAGCTGATATGAAGATTTCTAGCTTTAATATGCCTTTTAGCTTCCAACTAAGAATTTTTCAGCTGTAGTAGAGAATTCTGCCCTGCTTCTGACCAGCTTCATTCGTCCATGTTAGAGGCCGAATTAGGCTTAGATCAAAACATGAAAGTTGTAGGAAATGGTGTTATATAGTTGCCTGTAAAATTTCAACTCAATCGGGAGTACAGTAGCATGTGAAATGATCGAAATACCCCTGACTGCCAAATGTTTTTTTTTCCGCGGGCAGTTTTGAGATTTCACATTTTTGGCTTCGTTTTCCACTTTGATTCGTATCAAATCAGCATTTGGTCAAAACATAAAAATTTTAGCCCTATGTTTCAGCTTTCCAACGCAACTGAAAACGCCTTAATCAAAATTTTGTAGTTTGAGTTATTGTCATTCAAATCCAGTACTGACAACCAGACTGATATTTAAATTCTGGTTCTATAATTTGCAAATTTGACCTAGATCAAATGTGAACTGGGTTGACTTGTCTTCATGAAAGTTTTAATCCTTTATCTTAGTTTCGAAACGGTATAAAGTGTATCCCAATCCGATAAACGTAGCTCCAGTTGTGACCAAAATGCTATAAGATATTAAATCTGCTGTTTAGCCTTTTGTCTTCAAAACTGATTTCCGGTTGTATTATTATATTTGTATTATAATTGGATGATTTTGGAGCCTAATTGAAGCGCTATGATGGTAACATTGCTTGTGTGTGACTTTGGGGTTGATCTAAGAAAAATAATGAAGCCATAAATGGCTAAAAAATATGTAAATACAAAGGATGTGCTGCCCAAATTTTCATTCAAGGACTAGACTTGTGCACTTGTAGTTTGAGCGAAGAGTTGGGGTTGAATTGAGCTTGAATTGTCTAGGTTATTCAAATCCTCTTTCATGAAGGTATGTAAGCTAGAATTCGGTCGAAACTTATACCCTTGGAAAAATGAAAGTAACGACTAATAGAAATACGTTTTCTTCGTCTCTTCGACTCAAATGGTGATTTCAAAGTTTAATCGTTTCAAAATTTCAAAGTTTTAAAATCGAGCATGAGTAATATGAATATTCCCCAAATAAGTTTCAATTACTTGATTTTCGTAAAACAAAACGTTTAAGTGTCGAACTTTAGTTGAATTTCAAAACTCTTAAACAATGTTTTATCGCAGATTTGGACTCCCGACAAGGAGTAATACCTGAACGTGATCCGTAAAAGCACTACATCTTTGGTGAGTGCTTCCAAATACCTGATTGAATTTGACACTTGTTTTCAATATTTGACTAATGTGATCGAATGATATTTGGTTGGTATGGTCGGATAAGGATGTACTTTATCGCACTTACCTTAATGTGATATGTACTTGTTTATTGGTGCAATTGACTTGATATACTTGTGCTTGATTTGTAAGTGTTGGAGTGGCAGCATGTACCACACTCAATCCGAGTGGGAGGTGCCTCTCATTCCCGTCTCCGTACTTTTATCTTGATTCAGTCGATTGGAGATGTTATCTCATCGAATTCTTGGGAACCCAAACCCCACTGGCTAGTTAATCGAGTCGAGCCGGTAAGGGATTGGTCGATTAGATAACGAACCATGGGTATCTAGTGTTGTCGAGTGGAGTGTTATCTTCTCGACTAATCGGTATACTTGAGTATTACCACCAGTGTTTATTGAGGATTTTGGACCCAGTAGGGGGTTTGGATGGTGGACGGAGATTGTAGCTAAGTGGTGCTCTACTGGACTGATTACTTTACTTGAAAGTTGATGAAGTGTCAACTAATACTTCATCAAACTCTGGTGAAGCAATGGGAACTTGGCTCCTGAGAACCATCTGTATCCTTAGACTTTTAAATGATTATTGTCTATTGGATTATTGTTTCTTTTGAAAAAACTTTACATTCGCTCATCTTGAGATTTGCTACTTGAAGTGTTATTGCTCATTTTCTTGACTTGTTGTGCTCGCTATTTTCCTATTCTGATACTTTCACTTTTAAATAATGGTCAACTTACTATTTGGAGCCTTACTGGACTTTTAGTTCAACTTATTATTTGTTTTCCTTACAGGGGGTACGAGCGAGGCGTGAAAATTGTATAGACTAGCATAGTCTAGTTTTTCTGAATTTTGTAATTGTACTCGTACTAGTCGCTCGATTAGAGTTGAATGTATGTAGAACTCCAATCTTTTGATGTATTTGGAGTTGTATGGATGTTTGAGACAGAAATGAATGTAATTGTACTTTCCAAACTTGGTAACTGTTGTTTCCTTTATTATTGAGGTTGTACCATATTTGAGTTGGAGTGAGTGAGTGAGTCCTGGCGAGAGTTGGGCAGGCGGTCCGCTAAACCCTGGGATACGCCCTAAGAGGAGGTGGGTCGTCACAAATGGTATCAGAACTCTTATCGAGCTCGTGCCGCGAGAGGATTCTCAGACTGTGGGGATTGACTTATTAAGTGTGGAACAAATGTCTATTGTTGGGGGACCTTAGATATGTATGTTGGGTAGGAATCTAAAAAATGGTTGATTTCCTCTTAAGCCTAACTAACTCGAGTAGTGAATTATCATATTTTCGGATTCCTGTATCCGAGTACCAAAGAATGATACCTTCGGATAAGTTTGGATGGCGAAAGCCAATGCACGGGGGATGCAAATAATCTGGACTTGGGATATATTGAAAATATTAGTGAGATGTAGGATCCTTATTATTCACGTGTACGTACTTGGTTGTACTTCTTCAAATTTTGATTAAGTATAGTGCTTGAACAATACCTAGGAACATTCTTTATGTTCTTTTCCATGTGTTCTCTTATTTTTCATTTTATGATTTTGAAATGTTTTTATCGAACTTTATAGTTATTTTATTTTGCTTATACTTACATAGGTCATTGTGTAAAAGAGGTATGGAGGGTAGGTGAAGTCAAGGACGTGAAACTACTCGAGGACGTGGTTCTAACTGTGGCCGTGGGGCTAAACAGGCACAAGAACTAGTATGGGAATCGAGAGAAGAGAGAGGTGAACCAGTTGAACCGCAACCTGGACCCCGAGCGGAAGGGGAGGATCATGTGGCAACGGCGATTCAACAGATGATAAATATTCTTGCTCGTTTGGTAGAGCAACAGGGTCAAGCGCCTGTGAATCAACTTAGGGATCCTGAAATGGGACAAGATAAAGT